CAAATTCGTTAATTTGAATATTTTTCTTTCTTTTTTTTATATTTGATTTTGATCTTCTGTTTCCTCATTTACTTGACACATGCAATTTACAAGTCTTTCTCTCGGTTTTTTCCGAAATAGTGGCACCCACAGAGTCGAAATGTTCAATGTCGATGTTTGTCGGTGTCTTGTCCCAGAACCCAAGCAACACTACTGTGTACCTCGAGAATCATGCAATAATTTCAATACAAAATATTATGAAAACTTCGCCCTCCTTATTTCCTTTGACAAATTCCAGGGTCGTTGGCCACACGATTTGCGTGCCAAAACGAAAACTATTGCGACGGTTTTAGCTGGTTTGCGCTGTGCAGAACGTAGTTATGTTTCGCTGCTGCGCTGGTAGCAGCTACTAAATTGCGCAGGGCTTAGATATGGGGAATTTTGTTTGTTATTTTCCTTGAAGTTTCTATCACGTTTTCTCCAACTAAATCGATCGTTTTGGAAGTTTGGTTGCGACGGTCAAATGCTAAATGTTGTGACCGTGAACACTCTTACAAAGGACGTACGGAAATAAAAGCAACAAAATAAGGGCACTTCATATTCTCGTAAGGAATTTCACTTTTTGCAATAATGAGTACTTTTTATTTCACGAATTTCCCAATTAAAATATTTCCTTTTCTTGGCTTTATTAATAATTTCCGGCAACTTTCGAGCGTTTTATCCTACTAACTTTTTCGGATTATTGCATCTACTCATATTATGATAGTATTATTTCACGTGGATCGCGGTAGTAATTGGGGTTTCGGGTTGGATGTAGTTTCATTTATATTAAAAGGAGGAAAAGTACTTCGCTATCGCTTGTTAAAATTTCTTTTAGGTTTTACTTTTTCCCTTTTTGTCTATCTAAGCTTCACCCCTAGGGAATGTGCTTGTTGCTGTTGGTCGGGTAAAGTCTCAATATATATTCCACGTTTTTTTTTTTCTATATGTTGCTTACTGACCTGAACTATCAAACCCTGTTGTAGTGGTAAAGATACCTGTTGGTGGTGTTCGTTGTTAAGAAAGTTGTTGCTGTTGCTGCTGCGGGTGGGGATGGCAATGAGTTGAAGGTTGGTTGGCAGTTGTCGGGTGGCTTAAGTGCACCGGACCTGCCTTTAACTGTACTTGCTGTTGCTGTTATACTGTAGCATACTATAGCATACTCAATGGGCTCTTATTGAAATGTGTCTAGCTCGCCGAAATTGGGGGGGTTCAAGAATGAAATTTTGCCCTATAGAATCTTTATAAATTATAAGATGTAAGTGGATGTGTAGTGAATGTGAGCGTGTTAAGTGTACGCTTACTTCGCCAGCCAGTATCATAACAACATAATTAGTTTACAAACATTTTATTATGGTGTAATTATTATAAATGTCTTAACCTATTGTTGACAATTGTGTAACAGTCGTAAAATTAAGAATTATAAACTAATTTAATGGTATAAATTACAACTCACCTAGTCACGCCGAATGTACATTCGTGATTCTAGAATAAAATTTACAATTAATCTGATTTGTAATTTCGTCAATAAATTGTTGAATCAGGAGAAAAGGAAAGAAAAAAAAATTGACTTCTTCTCCAGTTGCCTGAAGTTTGAAAATTGTGGTTTTACGTTATCTGAAACCTTAATTCAGTCAACGAAATTAAATATCTGGAAGATGTTTGACCACCAAACACATTTCGCATTTGATTTTTTGAACAATCACGGCTAAAAACTCTTTCCTTTGTTTCTTTTATGTTCGATTTCAGCTTGTTAAATGTAATTTGAAACAGCTGTCACTCATAACTTCGTTTATGCAATGTTGGCATTTAATTCCTTTTAAATACACCCATATATCAATGGTTCATTAATTTTTTTTTTGTAATAGATTTGAGCGATTATTTCAATGTTTTCGCCAATAAACGTCTTTTATATTATTCATCAATAAATCTTGCTTTTTGTTTGACCAATTAATTTTTTTGACTCCATTTTATTATTTTTCTAATTTTTTTTTCAAAATAAAAAATTTTCACTTCTTCAGTTACTCTCTGCTGTCACGTCAGCTCTTAGACATCAAAAAAAAAATAAATCCAACGCATACTTGTTTTCCTACAATACTAGTTGTTACCTATTGCTGTTGTGGCTGTTGTGGCTGTTGTTAATCAAGGGCCGATGAGGGTGTTGCTGCTGCTATTGTCGCTGTCAACCCTGGTATATTACCCTTTTCCTTTTCTTTTTTTTTTTGTGAACTCCTTTAGTACTTGGAAGAAATAAAACGTTAATACTTGTTTCTGTTATTGTTCCAAATTAAAGTTTTTTTTTTGTTTCATCCGCTCGGTTTTTTGGCCCCCTGCTTGTATAGTTGTTGCTGTGGTGATTGTTGTTGTCGTTGGTGTACGACTGACTACAATCCTCCTGTGTGCGTGTAAGGGTGTTTACCTGTTACTTAGTTACTTGCCACTTTCTTTCTTTTCCTTTCACAACCGTTCTTGCCCGCACCACTTCGCAGAATCGATATTTGCTTCTTATGATATTTAGATGAACAATTCGCTAATTTATTGCCACGTAAGAGAACTACTGAAGGCTATGCTTAAGTCGCGTCTTTAAATACTTGTTGCGTTTCTATATTTTCTGCAAAACTGTCAATACGACGTAGGACGCACACGTGGCTGAATTTGTTTCACTTAACACAGTTTAATATGATTTTGCAGAATAATATATTTGTAGTTTTTTCTTTCCTTTCGAAGTTTTCCCCTTTGACGTCCAATTTGTGGCACTTTCTATTTTTCGCTATGGAATTCCCTTCACGCACAATATTCTGTCCCTTTTTTTTGAATTGTTCACTTTACGTATAATTGTTTGATTTTATCTTGTTCGATTTCATTAAATGTTTAAGTTTTTTTCTTTTTCTTCTTTTTTTTCTAAAAAAAAAGATGGTTAAGTTTTTTTTTTGTTACCTATTGTTCTTTTCGCTCTCTAAGCCGCACTCCCTTTTTCTCTTCACTTCATCAACCACAACTGATCGTTCTTTTTTCTTTTGAGTCAAGAGTTCTTTGCTTTCTCTCTTATCTTATGAAATTTTTGTATATGTCCATCGATAATTTCTTCAAAAACTTTTGTGTAATTTTTAATCAACATTCATTTGTCCTTTGTTCGTTTGGTTTTTTTTTCTTTTTTTTTTCTCTTTCGCTCCTATGTGTAATTTTTGTTAACAATCTAGTTTTGTCCTATGCTTTTTCGAATATTTTTTTTTATTGAATTTTATACACATGCTTTTATTGTATACGTAAATTCGCAAATTGTTTGCACGGACAAACAAGCATACACACACGCAATCCCTAACAATCATTTAATTCTTGTGTCACACTTTTCATTCGTACTTCTCTTTAAGTGCATTTGCAAACACATCAATTTTTCCATTTTAATCATTTTCAGTTCTTTTCAATTTTATATAACCGTTATTTGCCAAATATTATGGCAGTTTAAGTTAATTTTCTACGGGTTTTGCAATATTATATTAAAATTGATTTAAGGTAGTTTTGGTATATAATTTTCTTTTTCTTTTTTTTCAAAACATGTTAATTTCAATTTAATTTTTTTTTCCGTTTAATTTGCACTCTTTTCTCTTTCATTTGTGTTACGCCGCTTGCACTTTCCTTCCGCACACGTTGACTTGCGTTTTTCTAATCATAATCTCCGCTCTCTTCGCTCTTGTCCTGCGTTGTATTATTACAAAGGGCTTTTGGTCGTGTCAAACCCGACTTACAACTTCGCCGTGGTTACGACTGCCAGTTCACCTCATCATTTCTCTTATCTGTTTTGCGCAACGGTTTTCAAGCGAACACCTTGCGGCAATTTATTTACCACAGGCTCTTATGGGATCGCAAATGCAAATCTTAGTTATTGTGTGTTCAATTTTAGGTATCTTAAATTCACTGCCAGTTTATCCGCTTCCTGTTTTTTTTTTTTTTGTTTGCCCGTGTCGTTGTTGTTGATCCCCTATTTCGCTGAATTGCTTCTTGTTTGTCTTGGTTTTGTTGTTGTTGTTTTTCCTTTCGTTTAAACGTATAATCAATTTGCTGAATTTATGAACTTTATTTATTCCTAATACTTAAAAATCCTTTTGTTGCTTTAGATTTAACAATGTTCGTTTTTGGTGAATTTCTGCTTTCGATATTTTTATTTCATTTCTCTCTTTTTTTTTGTTTGCTGTTTTTTTTATTGCTTGTGGTTTGTTTATTCGTTTTGCTTATTTATTTATTTAATTATCTACTTTTGTTCTTTTTGTGCTTTTCTATCACAGTCTTTATTTTTGTTCAATGATGATGTCGATTGTGCTTTCGGTTTTTTTTTTCACTGAAGACTTCACTAGCGTTTATAAAATAAAGGTCCCTGCTCGGGCGCCACTTGTGAGGGCGTTTCGTCCCTTTCCTTATGGCTCTCTAATTTCTTAGGTCTACGGCTGAAACTCTACTTTCCACTTCGGAGACAAGAATTCAACTTTTCACGTCGATGACTAAAGCTCGACTAACTTAACCTATTTTTATATCCAACCCTTAACCTATCCTTAGCCTACGCTTAATCTATCGTATTCTATTCTTAATCTTCTCCTATTCTATTCTTATTTTATGTCTATCCTACTCTTATGCTAAGCCTATCCTATTCTTATGCTATGCCTATCCTATTCTTTGCCTATCCTATTCTTACTCTATCTTACTCTCTAGCACTCCCTCTCTCTCCAGCCAGAGACGGAGAACCCGTGAGGCCAAAACGAGAGACGACTTTGGGTCCTCGCACGATGTTAAACTGTTAACTTCCTTCTCCTTGGAATCTTAGTTGTGTCAAGTTCAAATCGACTTAAATAATTTGCTATTAAAAATAAATAATTAATTGATAACTAAATATTATTCAATTATGTAGTCTCATTCAAATATTTATAGGTGCTATATTATATTATCATATTTCCCATTTTTTGAATTTCTTCATATTGTTATTAAAAGCATATACATATTATTCTCTATTCCATCCGGTAACATTAAATCTTTTTCTTTTTTTGTCTCGATATTCTTAGAATTTTGCAATGCCACTAATAAATTTATATTAGTAGGTAAATAACTAGTAACTAATTACATAAAGAAATAATACTTAATATTTTTACATTTTTACAAAAACTTTGTTTATATTTTTTTTATTTACTTATTAATTTATACAAATTCAAATAAAAAAGAAATGTTAAAATAAACAGATAACACTTTGTTTGATTTCCAGCAGAACATGTTGATTTGAAATACTTGTATAATAAAGTAGCGAGGGTGACTGTATTTTATTGCTCGATTAATCCGGCACCATTCTGACAAGCCATATCGGTTAAACGGAACAAAAAATCTTAATATCACTTTTCTTTATATCCTACGGCCGTACGATTAAATATTCTTAATCTATTTTCATTTATCGCTATGTTCATTTGGAAAATTGCGTACATCGATTTGACGATACGTGAGTGTAAAGTATTTGTATATGTGTAACATATTCCGCTCTATTGTAGCGGAAGCTTCTGTATTCATATTCTTCTTAGTGCGTCTAATTGCAATTTCAGCATATTGCCCCATATCAAGCGGAGTAGCGCAACTTTTATGATTTCCGGGATGCTTTTTAGATGTTAAATTCGTCAGTACTTTTAACGTTGTTTTAAAACAATGCGCTTCCACCAGAGTAGAATGTTGATCGCCGGAGATTTTATTTCCAATTCCTTGTCCTTCCAAATCTTTTGTAAGCTTGTTTTTTTTGTTTTGAAAATATTTAGGTTGCTACCGTTTGTTTAATTTTAGGCGAGTGTCAAGTGTTGCCTTTTTACAATGTTTGCAACATTATTCCCACATTTTCCTTTGATTTTTGTAGTAGAATTGCATAAGATTTTCTTTTGCGTATATATATCTGTAAACGCCATATTAACATTTTTTGCTTTTCGCCTCCACGTTTGTGTAACACTACACTACTTTAAATGTGAAAGTCTGACTATTCAATCTGCACCTTAATTGTCCTTCGGCTTCGCGCAAGTGTGCTGAAAAATTTGAAGGCTGAAAAGACGGACCCATGTGTCATTGATAGAGTAGAGAAATGGGAGAAATGGATGGTTCAAATTTCATTCTAACGACATCCCACAGCCAATTAAATCAAAGAATTACGCATGGTTTAACCCATATTGAAATAAACAAATCGACGAAACCTACTTACCGGACGGGTGAATCTTACGCCCAGGGCCACTTTATATCCTGCCCTGCCTATTGTCTCCAACGGCTCATGATTTTTTATGAGATAACCCGAAGTTGAATCCGATGAGTCTCAAGCTACTTTCCTATAAACACAAACACTTCTACTTCATTTTTATATTTTCGTTACAATGAAAATAGTATAAGAAAACTTTTAATGTGTCATGTCGACAAGAATTAGATTTCTTATATTTCTTGCAGAATGAAAGAAAAATATTACAACAAAAATAAATAAATAAAAAGCGTCCTAAACCTTCATATTTTTGCTGCTGAGCAGGAATAACATGAACAGTTTTAAATATATGTTGTAATTCGAAGGGCTTCTAAATGTCACCAAATTTATACAAAAAATATGTTTATGTCAACACAATCGTCAAATACTCACTTCGTTTAATCAGTTGCTGACTTATTATGATGGCTTCTTCCGGTGGCTTAGTGAACGTAACTTGTAGATTGAGGGTGTTACCAATGCACATGTTGTTGCCGCCGCTATTAGTATCATATATTAAACGTTTTTGTACACATCAAAGCTATTTTATATAATGCATTTACATATTACCTTACTTTCGATGTAAGAGAAATTTTTGTAATAAAACTGTTTCTGCCTCAATCATCGTACAACTTTTAATTTAATTTAATAGTTTTAATGAATGTATTGCCCAAACATGTGGCATAACAAACGAAGTGTGTAATTTCAGTAAACTATGAAGTCATTGATCATGAAAGAATATGTTTATTTGCAGTTAGCGTTGCGATGTTACAAATAGATTCGAATAATTATACGTAAAAGTTTGTGTTAACTCTTATAGTTATGAAATTTATAATTCGAAGTGGCACTTGACTATTTGGTATGATTTATAGAACTCAGATCTACTATATTAAAAAATGTTTTGAGTTTTAGAAGCCATTTGCAGCTGTGATTTTTAAGAATACTTAATATGATGCAACTCTTGCTTAGCATTTATGTCTGTAGCACGCAATAACACGTGATAGACAGACACACATAAAAATTTTCAGATGATTGCACTTACACGCGCAGGTACTTTATACAATGCCATATAATTTTGATAAAACCTTTTATTAATTTTACTTGTTGTTATTATTTAAATAACTTTGCTTTTTTTTATCGGCTGGCGTGATATTTAATTTTGTGCCATATCTATTTCATTTCTCTTTTACTTTGAAAGTTTGTTTTGTGTCATTTATGACTTCAAACACAGAAACAATTTTATTCAGATCTTTAGAATGTAAAAGTAGTTTTTCGCTTAAAGTTACTTTTGTCTTGGCCTTATTAACCTTAGCTTTGAAATTTATTCTTTTTATACAATTACGTTCTTACCATAATATCTAGTATAAAACTGAACGAAAATAATGCAGCCGCCAGTTTTTTGCATAGTATATTCATTTAATGAAGTTTTTTTTGTACAATTTTTGCTTCTAATTCAAATTAATTTATTTGAATTTCTTTTACCGCACGGAAGACAACAATCTTTCTTCATTAAACTCCAAACTTCAAGTATTCTGCTTTTTCGTTGCCAGTCATCCTTGCATTTTCCTTTCTCAGGCATGCCAATATTTCAGGCCTGCCAAATAGTTTTTTAACCAGTCATTTCTCGTCGACGAATTTTCCAACCCTGTATTCTACCATGCTGCAGAGTTGCAGCTGGAAGTAATGTTACAATTGAAGAGTCAATTGTTGCAAACCTTACGGTTGGCCAACTGCCCTTCCAGGCCTCTTTTTCGCCTAGAAGGGATTATCATGTTTGAATTTCTTGTTATAAATTTTGCCTTCAGTTTATATTTTCAACTACTAACAATTCCAATCGTATAAGGTTGTTTAACTAAATGATCTTCGCCGCATTCATGATTACGGGCACGAGAATATGGATCTTGAATTTTATTACAGTTCATCTTCTGGCAACAAAAGCCATCCCAATCGAGTATGCATGGTGGTTCTCTTACAGGTCCTTCTTTAGTAGTGTTGGAAACATGCAAATCAACGTTATTTAATCCGATTAAAACTTCTGGTATCAAATTTTTATAATTTTTCACACAACACCGCAAGGATTTATAAGAGCCTCAATGGAGTCCTCTTTCTTTCTTCCCATATTACTGGCTAATTTCCACTACTTTGGAAATCAAAATCACCTTATAAATTCAACTCGTGGAATATTTTTTCATCCACCAGACTAACAGATGAATTTTCATCAAATGTTTCATAATATTTTCCATTGCTTTTGAATATATTCTTAGTAAAATATAAACAGTAGTCTATTTACTACTTTGGAAATCAAAATCACCCTATAAATTCAACTCGTGGAATATTTTTTCATCCACCAGACTAACAGATGAATTTTCATCAAAGGTTTCATAATATTTTCCATTGCTTTTGAATATTTTCTTAGTAAAATATAAACAGTACCCTATTTAACATGTTGCGGGGTGCATTAAATTATGCTTATGGTATTAGCTGTTTGACATCTCGCTGTTGTTTCTTATATCTTTTTCCTGATTATATGGATAAGTTTAATTTGACAATTCTCTTTTCTCCAAAAGATATTACTTCTTCAAAGACTAAAATGTTTATACAAACACAATTTACACTTTCCATCTCCTTACGACAATCTATTCTTCACTTCTATCACCTGTTAAAAATCGCTGTCAGTTAGACACATTGCTATAATTGTTGACGCATACCAGATAATTTCTTCTATTTTGTTCTGAGTGAGTTTGTTGTAAGGTTTTCTTTTTTATTTTTGGGTGACTTGATGTCTGTAGTTATAGCGTAGTTAATATCCAACTTTGTTATGTTAACAGAGATGGCAATGTCGTAAATCCAAACATGTTAGAAATTTTGCGCTCGTTTATAATTCACTGCGAACATAAGATTACTTGTTGTGTGTTTGCACACAATATTAGACCTGGAACTTATATACAGTGTCTTTGCTATTATTGTCAAAGGTTATTATTTTATTTTTATTTTATTTTATCCATTTATACATGATATTCAATTAAAAAATTACAGTCGAATTCCTTGCATCTTAATAGAAAATCTTGTAATAATGGTTTTAAAACTAGTATAAAATAAAAAGGAAGATAAAAAAGAATAATAGTTACAAAGTAAGTTAAAAATAAATTAAAAATTTAAAAACAATTCATGCATAAATAAATAAAAAGAGGGGAAGAAATAAAAAAAGCAAGTACACAGCTGGCACAGAAGCACACCCGCAAGAAGAATAAACCCAGGCTGCAAGTGAATATCTAAACCATAGCAAACGTGCACAAGCAAAATTAAGCATTCCACTCGGATTTATACTTTTTTGCTTCTGTTGTCGTTGTTGTTTTTATATCCGGCGCAGATGCTGGAAAAGACATACCCTGCCCCAGGGTCCTTGTCGAGTCAATCTTAAAAATACGCCCCAAAAATAAATCTTCATAATTGCTTTCTTCTCCTTGTTACACCAGCTGTCTGACCTGTCTGACCTGTCTGTCTGATTTTTTATACGGAGATCATGTACATGTTGCTCGTTTTCTTGTTGCTTTCTTTTTAAGACATATTTTTGCGAAGCGCCCTGTTTCTTGACAAATCTAACATTTTATATTCACTGTAGGGCAGAAAGTCTTAGAATTTGAGCACATCGAATACACATAGAAGTTGTATGTGTATCTGGTTATTAGAGGCAAAAAGCCTTTGGAAATCATGGTATCTCTAGGGGAAGTACGATACTGGACACTTAGACGTAGTGCGTGATGCGTTAATGGTCACATTTATTTCTGATTTCTTCTGTACTTCCTTTGGGGGAAGATGGGATTTCTAAGATTAGATGTTTTTAGATGGAATAACCGAGAAAGTGGCTAGAAATGTGGACGGTTATTAGGGAATATCTGTGTATCTCATTTTCAATGTTGTAATGTGTCATTTTGCTTAACGATTTTTGCTAACAATGCAACCATGGATCATATGGATTGTTAAGTTCGCGCACTGAAAAGTCTTTGACAAGAGAAGATTTTGTTTGGTCTATTATTATTATTATTATTATTTTAATTTTAGACTAATGAAATGAATTCTTAGACTAAAAAAAAGACATTGAGCACTAGCAACACAGTTGTTTGGTCTAACTTTGGTGGTTTTGTATCAGCAGACGAAGAGATTAAAAGTTGTTTTTGATGGAAATTGGATGTCGAGAACATTACTGAAAATTCGAGAGTTAATATTCGTAAAAAAAGGTGAATTCGTAAAAAGACTGAAAACTATTTAAGAAATATTGTAAAACTGCGAAAGAAATTACGGATAATAAAAAAAATGAAAAATTGATAGACTTTATGTTGAAGTTTCGCATAAAAAAAGCCAAAAAAAAAAATATAGAAATGAGTCATTGTTTCATCGTTAATGTTGTAATAATTTATAACGAACGTTAAATTAGTTACAATATCATGTATATATGCAATGCAAAGCATTGAACAATGACAAGAGAGAAGACCGGCGATAACTTTAAAAGTTGTAATAAGAACACTCATTTTCCCATCTCCATTCAACATACCAAAAACAAAAAAAAAAAAAAGAACACTCATTTCTAAAATAGGCAGCAAATCAATATAAAGTCAATGGAAGAATAAAAATGTGACAGTTTCGTGCACAAAACAATACAGAAAATTTTTCCTTAACTAGAAGAATTGTAAAATGTTTATTAAAACGATTATAAATTACCAAAGATAATAAAGATAAGATAAATGTAAGCTAGTTGTGCTGCTAAATACGCTTATTGATTTGGATGCGTCCTTTCTATTACGTGGAACGTGGTTTGATTTTTTTTTGATATGTAAGTTGAATCCAAATAAGTATAAGATGAACAAGTAAGTTTTGATCACATCTATATAAAGAAAAATTTATTCATACTTAACCGTGCGAGTCCCAAGCAGCGCGATCGCGCTGTTCAGATTTTATGTCGAGAAAACCCAGCACATTTCGAGCAATGTGGACAACTGACGGTGCGTTACGTATTGTCGAAGTCGAGCTCTCAGACTTACTGACGCAAGTAGATCACACAGCTCCTTTTAACGTAAATAGTATTTTACAATAGGTGAAATAGTACTATAATAATGTGCTTACAGATTTTTTTTTCGATTAATCATACCTATTTAGAAATGCACCAAATTTAGAAGATTTAAATAGTAAATCGAGATTTATTTTTCACTTACTTTGTGCGTTGCTTCGTCTAATCACTTTAAAAGACACAATTATTAATAATGAAAAGAATTATTAACTGAAGAATACGGAAGAATACGTCCGATCACTTCGCAAACTGCAATAAAAGTGACGGAGCGATGAAAAAATGGTATTTCTCGACATAAAATTACACAAGTGCTATCGCGCTGCTTGGGTATGTTCGTACATATATAGGGAAAGCGCACTGTTTGGGATTCTTCGACAGTGTTTTTTCAATGCCGTCTGGGACTCAAACGGTTAATAATTCAAAAGAAATCAATTGATCAGAGCAGAGCCTCATAAACTGAACGCAACTTCGCAGGGAGAGTGAAATTTTCCACATTTATTCTACGAAACATTCTTCTCTTAACGTGCAAAAATGGGAAAAATCGGCCATGACCAAACAAAGTTATAAAGGATTAAATTTAATTTTTTTCACTTTTTTAAGCTTTTATGCTTATATATCATAACGCAAACAAAACAATGTCTAAAACTACTTTGTACATTCCTCGGTAGACGCCCTGATTAATTCTTTCTTAATGATATTATCGATATGGCTTTCAAGTAAAAGAACTTGGGAATTGGAATGCGAAAAGCGTATTGGTGGGTATGCGAGATTCGGGCCCTGATAGATATAAATTTCTTATTTGCTTTTTGTTACTGTTACTTTTGTCATTTTTACATTGAATTAACAGAAATATATGTAGTAAACAAAAGAACAACGATTCCGATCATTCTTAAACATACGATTATAATAAATGTTGTTGAAATGTGAAAGAAGAAAATTGAAATAAAAGAAGTTTTTGAATAAATGAGAGGAAGGTAGGTTGGAGAGATCTTCAGGACCAACTTCGGCTGCCCCCATAAACATCATGGCCCGGAGGAGATAATTGAGCAGGCCAAGGTGAAGGAAGCCTTAGGACTTGGGGTGTGCTCTTTCAGAACCCAAGTTTCGTCCGTCCTTATGTTTGTTTAAGGGTAGGTATGTGGTATTGTTTTAGGTGTAAATATTTGAGGAGTGTCCGAGAGGCAATACAATAATATTTTATTGTTAATAGAGCTTATAAAGTTTGGGTTTTTGAGGATTAACGTTGCAATTATAACCAATTAAAAGTAGGAAGTAAACTAATGTGAAAATTTTTTCTTTTTTTGGTTACTTAGTGATGTGAGAAAAACGGAAATGAGGAGGTAATGACCTAGTGACTGTGTGCCCAATCAACACGTTTTGTGGCTAAAATGACTGAGCGCTCAGTATAGCTAAGGGCAAAGCAAACTTTACTACGCTGACATTTGCACCCGTGACCATTGACTTGATAGTCGCGATTCTTACTTATTCAGCTACTCATGTGCATTGCGGTCTGAAGAATAGATTAAATACATGATTATAGTTTATATCGTTATTGGAAATAAAGTGTCGGTATCGTATATACAGAGAGTTTTCGGAGTGAGCCAGAAGCGTTTCGTTGCGGGAGTAAGTCATCCGTTGAATGATCACAGTAAATGCAGACCTTTTTTAACCTTGCGTTGTCCAGGAAAAATAAATTTTTCATATTTGGTGGAAGATCCGAAATTTCGATAAAGATTTTCTTGCTCAGGGATTTTTATGTTCTTAATTTACGGGCGCATTTGACTGTCTTACTAGGGCACACTGAGACAGCTAAACCGCTTAGAAATCAAAACTGGGCAATGTATTTCTCTACGGGGATGTGGTAAGAGGGATTCATCTGCAAACCGTTTATTAGGAAAATTATAAGGGATGACTTACTAAGGTGATTGGAAAGCATGTGGAGAGAGGAAGAACGATTGCTGTACTTACTGCATATACAGATGATTTCTTTATTCTGATTAAGATTCCCGATTGAAAAGCAAGTCAGGAGTGCAGTAAGGAAAGGGGCTGCTATGCGGTGTTGCGATGTTGGTGTTAGAATATCGTCGGACAAAATTCTGACTATGCTACTAAAACATAGCCTTTCGTTCAGTACATGTACGGTGGTCTTAATTGCATCTAAGTGCATTATATCACAATTAGCATCACTGGAAAGAGCAGGTACGTTTGAGAATGTTTTAGGACTGGTTTGCCGTGTTTATTACCCGTTCAATTTACGGCCCACTCGTGTGGAAGTCGGATCTCACGTTTTTTGTCGGAGTGTCTGCCGTTTTTAATACCAATTCACCGGCGCCTTGCAATTATTGTTGGTTGTAGCCTCTTTGCACTATAGTAATACCTTAAGGATAACAAGAAGTTGACCCTTACTTGGTTGGAACGCATCCCTATCTAATGGTAATCTCGTTGGGCAGTAAACACTAACGGTAGCGTAATATTTTTTTAGATATAACTAATAGACTGTAACATAAATATATTTTAATAGGATATGAAATAAACTGGTTTGATTAAAATAAGTTTCAATTAAATGCCTCCGGATTTACTGTTAACATTTGTTTAAAGGGGACCAAGAAACTGCAGGTTCTCATCTATAATACAAAAAAACACTTACTAGGTAATCTATACAGCGAACGTGTAAAAAAGAGACAAAATGAGGAGAATTAAAGAAATCGCGTGGCAGCACACACATTGATGTACGTAGGTTCAAAAGCCAAATCGTTTGATTTTAAAGATTTTTATATTTGGCATCGGTATGCACATATCTGGTTGAGCGTGTGGTTGTTTGCCGTCATAATGGCCGCGTATTGACAATTCATTGCATTGGCGGTGTTGCACGTTGCAGATTTGGGTTTATAAGGATCATGTAAATTAAAAACGCAAGGGAAGTCCTAAAACAATAACAATTTACGACAGGCGTAACGTGAATACTTTCCTGGAATATGTAAGCCGTTGCTTGCATATATATACGTCAGTATACTTCGCAAGGTGTGTGCACTCGCACCTATAGTTGCGGTGAACTACATAGCTGCGATACGTAGACGTTCGTGTGGTGTTTTTATGCTACAAACTGGATGACGAAATTAATGAATACCCATCATGGTTTTACTAATAGGTATGAGCGTGTATGAATGCATCAGTTGTATACTTATCCAAGCGTGTGCAGCCGCCTTTTTTAGCAACAACAACTTTCCGGATCATCAAGAGACCAATTTAAGCAACAATCCGTTGCCATAAACACGAGCCAAGATCCGTGGATGTCTATCATCAATGCAAATTTGGAGAATAACAAAGCATAATAACAATCAGCCGTGGGCAAGGAAAGCAGCAGTTCATTCCTGCCATAAATCTATGTAAAAGGTAAGCTAAATTTAAGGACCTAGCTTTGGAAACTGAACCACTGAAACTTTTGAAAAAAAAAGATTTCTAAACCGATCATAAACCTATGTATGAATAGAATAATTCCAAATTGAATATTGTCAGAAATTGAAAGTGAAAGCACTTGGCTGAAAATGCGTGGCTAAGCGGTATAATCCGCCGCTGAAGCGGAGTATGAGTAGGGATCCGTGTGCGTGAAGCTAGGGGGACTGGAAACAGTTACTTATGGACTAAGAAGAGACCAAAGAACAGCGAATAGTATGGGCAACAGACCTCACGAACGGACTTACCAGATTTCAGATTCAAATCCTTTTTGCATTTTTCTTTTTTTATTGTCATGCGACACACCATGCCGATACACATCGGCAGATGCTCTACCGAAACCTCAGCTAGCTCACGTGACAACTTGTAATATGTTTGAAATCAATTTCTTAATTTTTTCTTCTTCCTTGATCGCAATAAAATAGAGGATAAAGTTTCGAACTTGGGATCACTAGAAATTTCGTCGAGATCGTCGGTTGGATGGGCCGAATGGGATTGTAACAACATCACAAACTTTTTTGTTCGCTTATGGTTTCTTCAGCTAATTTGATGCGTTCTGATATAATCGTTAAGATTAATGCCTTTAGATCATTTGATGCACCTAGTTTCTTTCAGTATGAGAAAGAAAAGAAACTTTCGTAATCAACTGGTGTCATTTCTCGCTGTATCAAGCTGACAACCAGTCCCACCAGGAGGTGGAAGGATAAGGATATATTAATAATTTGGTTGAAGAGGAATGGAGGCCTAAGAGGTAAGCGTACGTGACATAGCTGAGCTAGAGAGATGTAGGAGAGGTGCTCTGTCTTGCTCATGCACACTCCTAGGACGCTTACATAAAAAAATTTGCACATAATTGCTTCTTTATCGAATACCCGATCAACGAAACTCTATCTAATCGAGGCAACGGAATTGACCCTAGGCTTATTCTTCATTCACTCTGCCTATTAGTCTTCTTTTAGCTTCAAGAATTTGCAATGGGGAGACCACGAAATTTAGTTCCGAAGACTCCTCAAAGCCTACTTTCCCCTCATGGTTGAATAGAATTTACCACATTTATTTTTTATCTTATTATTTCACCCATTCGTTTAAATTACTTTACTAACATTAACACATTTTTTTTCTTCTTTTTCCTTCTCCCTCTATACAAACAAAAGAACTACTCATAGCACTTACATTATTATATACTTATAATCAAAACATATATTATATTATACACTAATAAACAATATAATTAATTATGTTATAGGTATGTATATAGAAGAGAGAAAAGATTTATAATACTCTTAACATTACAAAAATCGAATGCATAACCTGTTAATACTAGTGTTGTACGGTGTGTTGAAGTCTCCTCAATTTCGTTGGTATACCATTGACGCCGGTTTTACTTGGTTTTGCTGCTGTATTCATATTGTTGATTGGTTTCACTGTTTAGTGTTGTTCTTCATATACATTTTTGATTGTTAAAAGTTATAACGTATGTCTTGAGTAATGTAAGTTAACATGCAAACAAGGTGAACCTTCGTTGAAACAAAATTTCATGATTTCGCGGAGTTTACATTAACCTTGAATTGCAGGAATTCTTGATGACAGTGGAGACTTCGAATGATACTTTTATTTTCTTTTCTCCCTAGCAACTTTTAACGAATTCCTCAAGTTAGGTTATTTATAAATTATAATTTATAAATTATTCATTTCTATAATAAAAAAAACAAGATTTGCCAATACAAATTCGATGCATACATTTCGCGTTGTTTTTATATTTCATCTGAATAACATAGTGCTTTACACCATATAATAATATCCCTCACATGTCACACCTTGTCTTTATTTACATGTCCGCATATTCTGCCGGGGTTTTTTTTTTTTTTTGTTGTATTCATCTAAAATCAGCCTCTGTAGCGTTATGGCTCTGATTTATTTTATTTTGCTTACTGCTATTTAATTTAGTTTATGCAAGCTTAGCATATTACAAAACGTTATCCCGTTTATAATAACCTAGTTTGACATAACTGTAATTTTAAGCATCAAACTCGATTTATCAAATACACTAAGCACAAGCGAGTTACGATACAAGTTTACTTATAATCAATAGTCAAAAGCTCAGTAGTCAGTAAGAAATTGTCAATAAAGCGAAATACAACAAAGTAATAAACATTAGCAAAATAATTTATAGTGTTTTACGGCATGGCGATTGGGGGAGCACCTACGTTATGGCCTGGCGAGTTCCGAGTGCTTTAAATATGAGTGCCCTAAACTTCTAGGACGAATTTTAGTGGAACCGTCTTAAGAAGTGTATTTTGAGGCCAGCATCGAAAAATCAAGAACATTAACATTTAACCAAAAGAAAAGCCTTTCAAAAAAAAAGGGGAATTTTTTTGTTCTCCAATAATTTAACAGAATTTAAATGGATATATACACTATCCTTATTGGCTTAGTCCAGTTAATATCACAAAAAAAAGACAACGAACTGAGTAAAACGATGTTGATAATAACAATTCTCTGTGAAATAGAGGTGCAAGTTCTAAAAATGCAATAATTAATCGTGCATCGAAGCAGGAACCAAATTGCCAAAAGTAATCATGGGAGGTCCAGATGCTTCGCCTAAGGAACCGAAAATATAATCTAAGGAATATACCCATACACAAGTATATTAAAACCTCAACTATTAGTTACAAGAGAATAATACAACAACAACGACAAAACAACAAGAAACGAACAGATAAACAAAATATATTAATAGTTAATGTAAGAGATATTTTAGAACCAGGATATGAGTAAATTGTATAAGAGCTTACACATACACAAGCAAATAGTAAGTATAAGTATTAACAAACAAAAAAGAGAGAACAGATCCCTCCCTCACAGAAAGCCAACATCGCAAAGCCGACAATCAGGCAACCATCTTTCATGCCAAAGCATTATGAACAAGCCATGCCTTTGGGCGACGACGTCGACTATCAAGAAATATTTGAAGAGAAAAGATGTAGACAAATTTTGAGGCAAGTACAGCATTCACCCCAACAAATTAACAAATAAAGAAAATCTTATCTATGGATTGGGCAGCCATACTGTAGCAATACGAAAGCAAAAGCAATTCGATCAATCATAGAAATGTGTCAGTAATAATAGATTCGCAAGTACGGAAACAATGAATGTCGAATGAGTACACAAAAGAATTAGACGGCCTAACCAGGTCTTTGGAAGGAGCGTACATCGCAGACGGACTCACAAATGATCTCGCCAGCAAATATAGCACCCAACAAGCCATCAAAGCAATGACGTGAGACTGCTCCATAAATAAGGTAAAACTTATCATGGAAGCAGGAAACTTCAAGAATATGAATGAAGCAATATCGAAGTTTGTAAACAGTGCACTGACGCAACTATTAACAGCAACACAATATTGTATTACAAAAAGAGAGCTAACATTCCCAACAATTGCGGGGACGCAACGGAGGACGTTTCAGTGATAACAGTACCTATCAACGCAGGCAAAATACCAACAAAAGTAATAACAACAATAGAGGTCGGAATAATCGGAATCCTATATGGTTAGGAAATTACCAAAATGTGAGTATAACACATTCGGGAAAAGACCAAAACCTCTTGAGCGAACAGGAATAAGTACAGTATATCATTCTAACCTCAGTCTGAGTAACTTTATAAAAGAGAGAACGCAGAGACAAATTACCCATTAACTTTATTAATAGATGCAGTGCCGACATCTCACGTCTAAAAACACACAAAACGAATATTATAACATAAAAACAACATACACAACTATCCGGCATCGAAGAAGAAATAACAAAATTAATCGGATCTATTCATTTAGACCTGAAAATGATTAACTTCCTCATTCCACAAAAATTTCACATTGTGCCCGAAAATTTTCCCATACAGTGTGAATGAACTTTATAAAAAAATGTAACTGTGTCCTAATTTTTCAAAACACGAACCGTGTCCCCACAATACGGCCTGAACACTTCCCCGTAAATATGCAAACCGCTTAAAACATATGATCGATAGACACACAGCTACTAACCAAAGAAAGGTCAGTGGTGTTACCAAACTAAAAACACTAAACATACATACTAGTGGCCTGTGCTATTGTAGATATTAAAAGTGCCTTCATGAGAGTGATCAAAATAGCCATGGATAATGTAGGTATAAATAATGTGAGGAAACAAAGTCGTCCCTCGTTTTGGCCTCACATCTTCTTCTCTGAGGGGGAGTACTAGATTAAGCTAAGCTAAGAGAGTTAGAATTAGAGTAGAAGGAAATTAGAGTAAAGAAAAACCAGAAGAACTTGACAATAATTAGTTTAAGCCGCAGTTAAGTAGGTTTATCAAGACTGGACTAAGTTCGAGAAAGTGAGTTGGTCGCAACGTGAGTTAGAGAGTGGATGTTTTGATCAAGTTGGTGCGGTTACAATGATGGTGTAATAGGTCTTTGAATCAAGAACATGAATTAATATTTGAAGTACAACAAAACGAGCTCATGCTCAGAAAGAAAATTTATGATAAGCAAAAGAAAACAGAGTCGCTGTGGATAAATAGAAATATAAGACAAATTTTAAAATTAATTAATACTAATAAAAACTCGTGTATGAATTACTTCAAGCGATACGTAATACAAAGAACGAAGTAAAGAAATATTTTGTGAGATACAGCCTGGAGCCGCTGAACCACCCCAGCATCAGGTTACGGGCAAAATTTGCCCTTACAATAGTAAGGATATTAAATTTGAATCCCTAAAAAACTCTGAAATCGTCGCTGTAGGCAGCCAAGAACACAAAGAGAAGGAACAAAAAGAACAAGAAAAACAATAATATTAAACAAATTGAAATTTAACACAATATTTGAACAATCATTAACAGAAATGTGTACAGAATTCCGTGATGTCTTTGGTATTGAAATGGAACCAAGAAGCGCAAATAATTTCCATAAACAAAAGCTCAGAACGAACGACAAAACACCAAAATATATAGAAAACTATCTTATTCCTGAATAACAAAAGTCTGAATAAGATAAACAGGTCACTAGATTGATTAAAGATGGAATAGTCGAACCGTCCATATCCGAATATAACAGTCAACTTTACTAGTTCCCAAAAAATCTCTACCAACGAAAAAAGATTGTGTTTAGTAGTGGATTATCGCCAAGTCAAGAAGAAACTATTAGCAGATAAATTTCCGCTTCCAAGATTTGAAAACATTCTCGACTAGCTAGCCAAATACTTCTCATGCTTTGACCTAAGGTTGGCATTTCATCAATTGGAAATCGAGCAGAAATCGCGACATACAGCTTCTTTTTCAACGGACAATGGCTCATATCGCTACACAGGACTTCCATAGCGTCAAGTTTATTTCAGCGCAGGATGATCCTTGCCTAAAACTATCGCAATCGTTTCTCTGCATCGGTCATTTTAGTACTAACAGAATGTTCCGAGCACCAAAAACTCAAAAATTTAAGAGATGTGTTCCAACTATAGAAGACCAACAAATCCACATCCGAACAGGAACTGATCGCAATTAGGCATTCTAGACCTTCTATTTAGGAACGAGATTAGACTTGATCGAATTAAAGACCTCAAAAATGTAAATAATAAAATAAACACAATAATGACACGATCGGCAACACGATAGAAGAATAACTGCGCAGATGACAAAAAGTAAATAAACAAGAAAATATGGGGCCCAAAGTCTATGAAATCATTAAATAATGAATTTGTGTAAATGAAATTTGAACAGAAGCCGGTATACTAGGAAAGTCATCATTCTAAATGTCACCAAGTAAGAAGATTTTCGAATCTGTGTCGCAAAATCAGTTTAAATCAATAAGCTATAAAATATTAAAAAATATAAGAGTAGCGCTACTCAAGCGGTGACAAAGTACCACAACGATCGAATCGAAGGCGGTCGTACAGGAATTGCGCGTAGAAGATACTATCACTGGCCGCAAATGACAAAGTAAATAGCTAAATATGTCAAAGAATGTCCGCAATGTCAAAAAGCTAAAACCACAAGACATATCAAAACATTTACGATATTACAACGTCTGACGTATATATCGGGCCTCTAACAAAGATGGAAAATAGCAACGAATGCTCTGTAGTACTAATCTGTGACCTAGTCACATATAAGACCACTAAATCTGCAGTACAGGCTCCCTTCAAAAATTTTTGGATTTACGGACATTTATTACGGATCCAGCAAGGGCATGTAAAAATTCCTTGCAAGTACCTCAAAATAGACAAAATAATATGAACATCATAATAAGACACTTTGCACGGTAGAACGCAGCCACCGAACATTAAACCAATCTATCCGTTCATATGTATTGGCTGAATTAAACGATCGGGACCTTTGGATAAGAGACTTCCAATATTGCTTTAACACAACACCTTCCATTACACATCAATACTGTCCCTACGAACTAGTGTTCAAAAGGCCTCTCAGACAATTAACACATCTCAACTCTATGATATAAATGATTATATTAAGGAAACTAAATAGAGATTAGATATAGCATACGCGAGTGCTACAATGTTATTGGATAAGGCAAAAGAAAAACAAAAAGTGTACTATGACAGCAAAATTAACAATTTCCCATTCAAAATAGGTAACTTAACATTAGACATCACCAAAGATTAAATACGGCGTCAATGAGAATTATAAAACTTTCCGCATATTTCCTTTTTATTGGTTCAAAACCATTAATCTTCTTGAAACTTATATGGAGAAATTCAACTCAACTCACACATTTAACTAGACAAATTTTTAAACATTTTTCGAAGTAGTTCCAAGTCTTTTCTAAAAATAATCGATTTTGTTCGCACATTCAGTCTCGCCAAACGTCTTCTTTGTGATAGTCTAAACGCATCCTCGCTTTTTAGTTGTAACGCACTAACCCATGGTGTTATCGACCATACTTTGCGCGCAAGACAAACTAGCAAATTGAGATATGTAATAAGTGCTATCCAATCTTACGAGATTGGGGAATCCATACGGATAGCAACAAATTTATCAAACAGAGACATTTCTCTGTACCACCTGCAGTAGAAAAGTCTCTGTTTGCAAAACTTAAAAAAAAAAGGTTGGCAATAGAAGTAATGGAATCTCAAAGTTCTTGGTCTTTACCTGCTACGTTAGTTATAAAATCAGGAAAGGTTCGATTAAGTTTAGATACTTGAAAAGTGAATAGCGTTACGGTTAAAGACACTTAGCCTTTACGTTTGGTTGATGGGATATTGAGTAGGTTGCCAAAGGATGAATAAATCACAAGACTTGATCTAAAAGATGTCATTTGGCAAACACGTTTACACGAGAATGCGAACGAAAACACAGCGTTTACATTGCCTACTCCATTACATCAATTTGTAACAACGCCGCTATACAACGCAACCCACGCCATATGCAGATTAGTGGATAAAGTGATCCTACCTCATCTATGTCGTCAAGTGTTTGTTTACTTAGATGACTTTTAATGAGCATGAAGCATGAAATTGCTTTGTGTATACCGAAAGCTAATTAAAGTATTAAAGTCGACAAGAGTAAGTTCTGGCAAAAACGGTTCAAGTATTTAGCATCAAGTCAGGGCAACATCTAAACAGATTCTGACAAAGTTCGGGCCATTCGTGATTATCGTCTGCCGAAATCTATTCGTCAATTGTAGGTGTTTGCGGTTGTAACCGTCGTTTTTGTACGCAATTTCGCACCCTTGTCCACTTCCCTGAAGGAAAAGAATAGCGAATGGTTGGATGAAGCAAAACTCTCTTTCGAAAACCTAAAAGAACAATTATGTTCTGCTTCGTTATTATATAGTCCCGATTTCATTCGTCCATTTTCTACACAACATGATGCAAGTCAATTTGGGTTTGGTACTGCATTAGCTCAAAAGAAAGAAATTCGACAAGAGGTTCCTATTGCTCGTATGTCTCATAACTTAATAGTGATTAAATTAAATATTCCATATTGGAACAAGAATGTTCAGCAGCCTTCTTGGATATTAAAAAGTTCTGAACCTATATAGAAGGGCATGGGTTTGAAATAAGCACAGGTTACTCTTCTCCAAAGTTTGTTTCCAACTATGACGTCTGTAAGTAAATGAAAGCGCCAAAACCAAATTCTAGGACCACCTATGGGTCAGCTAACAATTTCTGTTAGACCTTTTTAAAAATTATATCTCCATCTACTAGATCCTTATCCTA